CAAGCAAACCTTCCAAGACATTCGTCTATCGGACCTGATGTATCTCGACAAGCAACTTCAAACTCTGTTTTCTTAGTAATGATCGACCTTTATTATTAAAATTTACAGAGAGGGAATAACGGTCACAAATCATCGGCACACAGCAACCACTTGACTACTCAGTATTCGAATGTTTCAATCACAGATTCCCACATCTGCAGTTTCAGGTCTTTGTCCATATCCTGATAGACCTCAGTTTGAACGATCTTCATCATCCAGCCGGAAGATTTAAGAGGAACTTGTTTCTTTGCATACATATTCTTAAAATTCTGTTCATGCAGAGAAAAGCCTTGAGAGTTCACCTACCTTTAAGTTTTCATTGGAGTATCTCCAAGACAGAAGGAAGATTTCTATTCGTATTGCGTCGGTTATACTTGAGCCCAGCACCAGTGATTCCATGTAGTGTTGACACAATCGAACGATATGCTTCACTTCGAACTTGTGTCCCCAATGAAGCAACTTTCTAAAGTTATGATCTGAAAGCATAAAGAGTAAGTTCGAACCACAACGAACATCCCACTATCTACTGGCTCACAAGGTAAGTAAAGGTAATGAAGAAGCTCTCGAAGTTCCTCGACTGGAATCGTATCCTTCAAACAGATTTCAGAAGACACTTTGCTGCAATGAGAAGGTTGGAACAGTCAACTAGTTGGCTTTCACCTCGTTTCGATCATACTTCTGAAGATCTTGGAGTTCCAAGATAGAATCTGAGATTCAAATATACAAACGAGGAGCCTCAACTCTACTACCTGACTGTGGCAGTGAAGCTTCCCTCCGTTGACTTTCAATACCAAATCTTCGTTTGCATCTGCACTATCGAAGTTTTTCATTTCAAAATTACTGTGAGAATAAATATAATTGGAAGTACTCAAGCAAACTAACTGAATTCCCTCAATCCTGATGTTGGTGATCTCTACTTTCAACGAGTTAACGCTTGGTTGCACATTGATATCCAAACTCACGTAATTCAATTCTTGGCTTATAATAAGATCTCTTCTCTCTTCATCATTATTTTTCTGCTGAAAAGCCACAACAGTTCATTCAGAAAGCTCTCACATACTTACTCCATAGTAGTGAAGTCTTTCTCTATTCAGCATGTTTTTTGAAACCAAGACATCGAAAGTTATGGTCCAGGGTACTAACGGGCAGATTGTCCCTCCAATCGGGTTTTTATCAATTTTTATCACAACCTCGTTTCGCGAAATGAGTTCCACAGTCCTGAATACAGATTGCGAAATAGTGAAAGACAAGCTCAACATTCGATATCCTTATGTTCATGCTTTTTAGAAAGCTTTCCAGTATCAGAGAAAGTGTCAGACAAATGAAACGTGAAGTCCATGTCTCCCTGTTGTGAGCTACGCCGTGACGGTACTTAACAATCTGTACAATAGCAAGGATAATGAAGAACGGATCAAAATCGATATAGAATCGAAAAAAAAGAAAAAGACCTTCAATACACTCGTTACAATCCAAACGATCTCCTCAGCATGACGACTGCTCTTATCTCCTTATCATATTATGTACAAAGAAAAGCCTGACTCATTATGCTTAGAAATGACAGCCCTGCGAAGTTCTGGTCCGAAATTTCTAAAAAGACAGGATTAAACTGAGACGAACCTAAAAGTAAGTCTTTTCATTAGTTTTGTCAGAAGTCCAACCTGTTGCCCGAAAGATAACAACCCTGCAAAATGCTTCTCACTTCTATTTGGTCTTCGGCATCATCATAGCACGTCCAGGTCACTAACGCTTCCTCCATATCACAAATCAGAGAATGGATCATCACCACAAAATGGGAAAGCGGTATTCCATAGTACAGATGACTCAAAGGTTCTCCAACACCAGGTGAGGGTAACTGCGATCACGAGAGAGGGTAGTCACATTTTGAGCTGAAACAGCGGGATAATATAGCCTTCTTCTTACTTATCAGTGAATCTACTCAAAGTAACCAAACTGATGAACGTTGAAAAAAAAACTAAACTTCTACTTCTACCGAAACTTCTGAAAAAGGAACTGAACAACCTATGTGCTCTTTCCTCTGAACTTGACAGAATAGTTCTCAATTGTCCGGGAGGAAAGATGTCACACAATCGTATCAGTGTCGGAATGGAAACACAGCGATGTGTTTTCTTTTCGTCCTCTTCATCGTTCAGTATAGACAGGCATCCATGAAAAGACCTTCAAGCGGACCTCGTGAGAGGTCTCCGGACAGTGAAGCTTTGGAAGCCACCCGAAGCCTCGGACTTGATGTACTGAGAAAAGCAACTCCAAACTTTGCTCTCTTACTAATGACCGAAGTTTATTATTAAAATTGACAGAAACATTGAGAACTAAGTTCACGACCAAAAAATACAAACTTCTTAGCATTCAAATGTTTTAACCAGGAATTCCCACATCTGCAGTTTCAAGTCTTTGTCCATATCCTGATAGACCTCAGTTTGAACGATCTTCATCATCCAGCCGGAAGATTTAAGAGGAACTTCTTTCCTAGCATAAATATTCTGAGAAGCCAGTCAACTCAAGAATACACCTTTTGACTCCACCTACCTTCAAGGGCTCAATGGAGTATTTCCAAGACAGAAGGAGGACTTCGAGTTGCATATCATAGGTTTTACCAGAACCCAGCACCAGTGATTCCATGTATTGGTGACACAATCGAACGATATGATTCACTTCGAACT